ACTATTAGAAATACTTTAAAAAAATGTTTTATTTCAAAGAAGTTTACTTCTTCAATGGGACAAAAATGTTTTTTTGTATACTATTTTTGTCTGATAGCTTTATATTTCAAATACTCTGAAACCAGTAAAGGCAACTGTCCTGCATTCCTAATTCCCCAGGAATGAGGAACTAACAGTGGAAGTTGGGTTTACTACCCTATTTTCCACCATGGCCACAAAACCCTTCTCCTTCCACAAAACTTATTCTCAGTCACTACCTTTGAGTTCTTGTTTTGGGGGTGTGGTTTATAACCTTGGAATTTTCTACAGTTAAAATCAGAGTGATTTTAGTCTAATCTTGTATCCAGGTAAGGAATCTATTCCAGAAGGTAACAATTCAATAATGCAGTGAATTGTTACCTGAAGAAGCAAAGCTCCTCCTATCAGCGAAATGTTCATGTACCAGGAGACCTTTTTAGTGAGCTCGAAGGGTTATGAGATGAACAACAACAACAGTGATAATAATAGTTAGTCCCTCTTGAGCACTTACTGTAGAGCAGGCATTGTACTGATTGCCCTAAGAGGGACTTGTTATTATTAACCCTATATTAGAGATGAGAAAACTGAGACTTTGAGAAATCCTCTGCCTTTTTCCAGGACACATGGTTAAGTAGTGGTAAAACCAGATTCCAGCCCAGGCACTCTAAATCAGAGCCCCTGATTTTAACCATTATACTATATGCTTTTCTACTGAACCCAAATCAATCTCCCTTTAATCCCTACACAATTATTCTAAATTCTACCCTTTGGGGCCAACAAGAACATGTTTATTCCTCTTCCTCATTCATTTATGTAACAAAAAGAATATTAATTGAGCACCTCCTAGATGTTAGGTACTGTCTTCCAGCCTGTAATATAGCAATAAAAAAAGAACAAAGTTTCTGCTTTCATGGTGTTAGCATTCTCTCCCTTAAATTGTTTGAAAAGACTCACCAGATTTCTAAGGGTTTTCCTTTCCTCAAACGAAAGTTTCCTACTTCTTTCAACCATCTATCATAGGAAAAAGCTTCAAATTCTTATCTATCATGCTTATCTGTCTCCTCTAAACATATTCCAGTTGTAAATATCTTGTTAAAAAATGAACCAACCAGACATGAACACAGTAATCCACATGCTTTCTGATGGTTCTGTTAAAAATAAGGCAACAGGCCCCCAATGGAGTTGCTTATGCTAAGACCCATGTCACCAAACCAAGACTTAACTGAATTATAGTTTCCATTCCGAGAAATGGAATCTTAAATTAGTAGCTCAGAAATCGCCTAATCAGCATTAGTTAAATAATCTGCCTGTTAAACCCCTGCCATCCCCTAAAGGAAAGTGACTTTGCAATAACTTTGTCTAGTAACTTCCTTGTCCCCCCTCCTTTCTGGCTGTAAATGCCATTTTGCACTGACCCTTGGAGCTCCTTCCTGTCAGCTAGTTTGGACGCTGCCCGATTTGAATCAATTTTTGCTCAAACTTAATTTTTTTTTTTTTTTTTTTTTTGCGGTACACTGGCCTCTCACTGTTGTGGCCTCTCCGTTGCGGAGCACAGGCTCTGGACGCGCAGGCTCAGCGGCCATGGCTCACGGGCCCAGCCGCTCTGCGGCATGTGGGATCTTCTCGGACCGGGGCACAAACCCGTGTCCCCTGCATCGGCAGGCGGACTCTCAACCACTGCGCCACCAGGGAAGCCCCTCAAACTTAAAATTTTTAATATGCCTCAGTTTATCTTTTCACAGGTCTGGTGACAGAAGACGGAACCCAAGGAGACCCTCAACAGCCCTCAGGGGGACGAGAAACCCCTGTGAAGGTACCTGCACAGCCCCTTGAGTCGCGGCTTTCTCGCCGCCTCTGGAGGTGGTGGATAAATTCACTCGAATCCTCCATCCATACATTGTGTGTTAAGAACTTTCAGACTTTGAGCACTTTCTCCCCCTGGCCTGGGTTCTGAAACTGGCCGGAGTTGGAATGCAACGGACATAAGAGACCGGACTATTTCCGGTGATGGACGGGGCCGACTCCGAAACTAGACCGGGTCCCGGGTCAGACTTGGTCCGACTTAACGCTGGACTGGTACGGAGTGACGCCTCGGGCGAATAAAATTTTGTTTGAAGGCTGAATGAGCAGGTTAATCTTACCAAAGATAAACATGAATTACAATGGCCGCAATGGAGAACTTTGAACCTAGACAAGATTATTCATGTATGACGCGCCCTGGAGAAAATGGAGTCTCAGCCAAGCGCTCACCGTGAAGGGTAGAGGGAAAACCCACTGGGACACCCCACTCTCTCTGGAACCCACAGACAGGATCCAGGGAAATCCTGCAGGAGCCGGCCAAGGGTAAGAATCCTTACCAAAGTCAGCTGGCCCATCTCTGTTTCTTTCTGTGCTGCATGGTCGAGAGAGGAAGGTAAGATTTCATTTTGTCCCTTCCTTTCCAAATCCAGACTGGCGGGAAAAACATTTGTAAGATTTTAATGTTACGGAACACAAGATCCTGTGCCCAACACACAGTGAGGCTAAACAAACCAAAATGTCGGAGTCTGGAGCAGAGGAAGGCTTAATACAGGACCAAGCAAGGAGAATAGGGTGGCTCATGTTCAAAAACCCCCGAACTCCCTGATGCTTCTCAGGGAGGAATTTTTATAGGTAAAATTTGGGATGAGGGCTATAGGGGATGTGACTTTCTACTGATTGATTGGTTGTTGGTGAGGTAACGGGGAGGTGCTCCAGGAATCTTGGGCTCAGCCTGAAGTTACCATCCTGCACCTGGGTGGGGGCTTTAGTTCCTGCAGAAGAACTCAAAGATACTGTTAAGTATATCCCTTGAGGGGGAATGAGTTCGAGGTTTTAATCACTGCACTATAGTTTCTTGATCGCTCTGCCTTTGTTTCTGCATTCTCTTACTTTCCTGACCACCAACTGTTTGAATGTGCTCTTTGGAACTCAGGGAAGGTCTAGGAGGTTGAAGCCCTCTTCCTGCAAACAAGAAATGGGGGACAGGGAAAGGATTTGTACCCAGGAGGGCCCCACAGGATCCTGCTCGGTTTCAGATCCTTGAATTGTGTGACTTGTGAATTTGCTTTCAGGTACCATCCGCTGTCCATCCTTTCTTTCCCAGGGGCAGCTATTGCCTCGTTTGTCTTATTTTGTGTCCTGAGAACTTGGCTTGGCAACACTTTGGGGGCATGGCCAGGCAGAAATGTGGGTTGCCTAAGTTTATTAACAGGTCAGAAAGAGAGCAGAACCATTAAAGGCAGACAATCTGGGTTTATGTATTGTCTCTGCCTGTAATCTCCAAACCTCTTCTCTCCTGTAATATGGTCCAATTAGACACGAAAATTTCTAGCATGCAATGTTTAAATCCATTTACTGTGTCCAAGTTCCTTAAGCTTAGCGTTGTCCTTGAAATGTCCTCTAGCATCACAGACAAGATGCTGGAAGCCATCTTGCATTCGTAACTTACCTGAACTGTGAGGTGGTGGTTTGGCTGAGTCACTTGGTAGACCACAGCATCCCCTAGTGGTCAGATTTAAACCTCAAGTCATGTATATTCTGAATTCACAAGAAATTAACCTAACCCTTAGAGTGTCAGGCAACTGTGTTTTCCAAGTGTGGAACAGATTTTATTGGCTACCTTTGGTTCAGTGGGTGATGTATTCTCCACTATTTATCAGGGAACCTGATGCATCTCAGGTTCACTTAACCCTCTACCCACTTCTCCATTCTGGGCTGCTTTTTCGTATGAGCTTAGGAATTCAAGCTGCTTCTCCTTTTCTTTTTTTGTGATTATAGATACTTTTCTACTTTTGAGGCACTTCGTTATTTCTACCTTATTTGCTGTCCCTGACTATAAACACATAGGCCGTTTAATATGAGGATGTTACCTAAAGTTCCTGTGAAAGAAATCGGGAAGGAATAGTCCACCTGGGGTGATTGTGGTTTAGACTAGGAAGCATTAGATCTGGAGTCAGCCCTGAATTAAAAGCCCTGAATTAAAAGCCTAACTTTGCCTCCTATTTGCTGGTGATATTAGTCAGGTTACTTAACTTTTCTAAGTTTACTCACAAGATCAGGATAACCTTACAGGGTTATTGTGGCTCATATGTAAAGCAAAGTGAACTACACAGCGGCCTCATGATCAGTTCATCTGGTCTGTAGTCCCTTCCTTCCATGGCAGATCATCTCTTGGGGATGGTTTGGTGGTAAAAGTTAATTCAAAATGAGGCCTTAGCTCTTCTTTGGTTATCTCAGCACAAACCTGTCAGACCCAAAGAAGCAGATCTCCAAGTCAAGGCTGAGATATAGTCCTCAGGCTACCAGGGAAAATGGGGAGCTCTACATCACTGCTACTCACCTCAGTAACTAGTAGGGAATGGCCTCTGCTGGGGGAGAATTAAGGCTGAATGCAGAGGCTTCTTCACTGCATAGTTGAGAAAATGTAGCTTTTTTGGTTTCCTCAATGATTCAGAGCCTCTTTGAAAAAGTCGTGTGTCACCTGAAATCTACATTGTGAGATATATGGAAAATCTTAAGACTAAACTCTGTTTCACCAGACAGGCAGCATTTCAAAATCATATGCCTCTGTATCCAGACCAGTGCCAAGCACAATAGATGCTCAGTTAAATCCCAAGGAACCCTAAAGGAATTATTTCAGTCGGTGAAAGGTGATGGGCAACATGTTTCTGGACTGAGAGTTTTCCAACTGTTTCTTAAAATGCTAGTCTAGTCCTCATGGGATTACATGTATTCATGATCGATCGTGTCCTGTCACTTAATATCTGCAATCACATTTCCTGAGACAGAGTCCTCAGAATGTGAGGAAGATGGGGAAGGAAAAAGCATGAAGGAAACCCTGTCCAAAATTACAGGATTGCTGTATTTTGTAAAACTTGGTTTATTCTGAGTTTGCCTCCATCCTCCGTCCCCAGTATAATCAAACGTGCCTTTGAGGAAAAAGCATATGGGAGCAACAGGAAGTATTTGGATGCATTTTATTCAACAATCAGGCCAGCCACCGCATCATAGTGTTCTTAAGGGATTTCAGAACCTTGGTTCTCAGCAAGGCCCAGATTTTTGAATGAGGACAGGAGTCTTGTGTTTCCTATAGAAGAGATTGGGGGAAAAAAATCAGCTTAAACTTCGTTGATAAAACGTGACAACGGGAGAAAAACAAGGAAAAAAGATCAGCTTTATTTAAAATAGAGAGGTTTGAGATTCATTTCCATTTCAATCTCTCTTATTCATTTACTCATTCACTTATTCATTAACTCCTCAAATATTGATGGAGAACTATAACATACATTAAGGATACAACAAAAGGGAAAAATGTCCGTCCTTACAGAGTTTACAGATCTAGCAGGGCATTATAAAAAGCTTCTGAAATTAATCTTTAATCCATTGTTGCTTCTTTTCCTTCTGACGGCATTGTCCTAGCTACCAGGTTTCCATCTTAGCTGGTGCCTGGGCTACTTCAGGACCTTCTAATTGATTGATCCATTGCCTTAGAACTCTGGGGATTCTCATCTGTGAGATCTTGCAAAAGGAAATTATATCCTTATCCCATATGATAGCTGCTTTAGTTAGCATCTAGACAGAGCCCACGGATTGGCTTATTTTCCATAGCTGTGCTGTCCACTATCCCATATAACTATTTAAATTTAAATCAGTTAAAGTTAAGTAATATTAAAAATCCAGGATTTCATTTATAGTAGCCACATTTTAAGTGCTGGTACCATGGCTAGAGGCCTCCGTATTGGACAGCATTTCTGTCATTGCAGAAAGTTCTACAGGAGAATAGTAGTCTATAGAGAAGAATTTGCCAGTATAGATTTCCTAAGAAGACATACAGGAATTAGAAAAAAAAAGTTCTTACTGAATATATCTGCTAAGCACTTAATGATCAAGGAGATGCAAGCCCTTGTTTGTCTACCCATCTCAAAGCTCAACAACTAAGGTCAGAGCCTGGCTCTAGTTAACCATAAAATGTATTTGTTTGGGGCTTTTAATGGGCAGTAGAGACAAAGGCAAAATGGTACATTTGAAAATATGTTGCATTTGAAAAAGACACATTTTCTCTCTAGACCTGTTTTCTTGTCAGAGAAATATAGGAAGAGAAGTTACATTTTCTGGCATTCAAATGTTGCTCCCATATTTACATAATTTTAAAAGAATAGAAAGAGCAGGTAGGACTGGTAGGTTTTAAAGTCTAAGGAAACCGGGTGTCCCAGCTCTATGCTCATATTTTCCCAATGGTTCAGTCTAAATACTGGGCCTTTTGATCTCGGCACTTGGAAATTGACCAAGCCTCAAGGCTGTTGTGTTGCTTTCTCCTCCCCTTGGATGGAAATATGATTTTGACCTTAATGTCAAGAACATAGGCCATGAGAAAATTAACAAGTGGTTTCAAGTTCCTTTTAACAAGTGGTTTCAAGTTCCGTTTACAAGTCCTTAATGTGGAAATTTTTTTGAAAAAGCAGAACATCCAATGTTTTGGGCCTGAAACTTCAGGATATTAGATGTTTCTCCCTGGAGACCTATTTCCACAATTCTTGTTAAATACTGAGAATTTTCTGAAACGACTTAAAGCAGACCAAGGAGAGGGTGCATGGTACGAGGAATTAGAGATGTGGAATGCATGCAGTCATTTGAACCGAAATCAAAGTGTTAATACCACATCAGTTCCAAAATAACAGACTTTTCTGGGTCGCTTGTGGGATCTCTTTTATTTGTTTTGATCATTCTACACCTTTATTTAACTTGGAGCGCTTTTGTGATGCTATGAAAATGCAAAGTGCAGTTTAAATGACATCCTTTTCATGAATCCTTTCTTGACCCTTCCAGTAGGAAGCAATCTGTATTTCTCCTTCACTCCTGTAGCATGTTGCTCACACCTCATTTGATGGCATTTGTCACAAGTTACAAGAAGCTACCTTATTTGTACTATTTTCTCTCAGTTATATCCACTAGGAAAGCAGAGGAGACTAGCACATAAGTGTTCAGCAGCTGGGTAAGACAGAAAATCTGTGGCGAATTTATTTCTCTGAGTACCTGAGTCTAATTTCCCATCACCTACCCACCTACAATCAGTTCAGAAACTCCACTGAGGCTAGGTCTCACATCCATAAGTGATTGTGTTCACTAAAGTATTACATAAAGTGTTACAAAAATATGTTTTTGGTCACCTAATCTATATAATTCATATTTGCATACTTCAGGGCTTTAGTGAACACAATCATTGCTATCACCAAGAATGATTTTTTAAGTATAATGGTATTTTGGGTATGTGGGCTTTAAAAAATCCAGACTATCTCTTGTTCGCTATAAAAGGTTGGGTTTTTATCGTAGAAGTGATTTTTTTTTTAATTAATTGAAAGAAACATTCAAACACTTTCCTTCCTCTAGCCATTGTCCTTTCTTTAACACCTTTTATACAGCACCATGTTATTAATTCCTTTCTCACTTTTGTTCAGTTTTTTCTTCATCTTGAAATACCTCTCTCTCCTTCTTTATGTTCTAGAGGAAACCTCAGACTTTTCCAAATCCTAGCAGGCACAATTAGTTCTTTTTAGTTTTGTGCTCTCGGAGCACTTTGCTTATACTACCATTGACCACACCGTGTTAGCATTGAGTGTAAGCAAACTGGGAGACAAAACATGTTGGATTTTCTTGTGGATCTCACAAATATTTAGTCTAGTACCTGACTTTAAAGTATAGTGGAAAGAGCAAGGATTTTGCACCAGATCTGCCACTCATGGCTGGGTGACCTTGAGCAAGTTATTTAAACTAACTGAGTCTCAATTTCTTCATGGGTATATTAAGCTGAGTATTATTTACCTCATAGAATCATTGTGAATATTAAGTGCCTCGCATAATGCTTGACATAATAAATACTACTTTCTATCATAATGCACACACACACACACATGCACACCTCTCTATATAATCATAACATATATAATAAGGAGAAAAAGAAATCAAGAATTGTTTGGGGGAAAATTAGGTATTTTGTTTCTCTCATGGTGAGATTAATGTTATTGGTATATTCTTTGAGGCTTAAAGGGATAATATATGTAAAAATTTGAAGACTTCTAGCTTAAAACATATATTTTAAAAGAAATTCAGGTTTGTACTCACATATTTTCAATACATAACACGCATTCATTAGAATAAGTAACTCCATCTGTCCCACAGACAGGGTTATAAATCTTGGGACATCCACTCACTTCACTTGTACATTTAGCCTAAAAATGGAATGAAACAGAATCATTTCCCATCATTTTTCATTTGAATTTATAGCAGAGTCTCTAAAATCTCCCTGGAGTTGATCAGCTTAAAGATGGAAGCATGACTGTGATTGGGAGAGTGATACTAAGTGTTCCAAGAGGAAGAATCCAAAATTTGGAGTCAGAAAACCTGGTTTTAAGTAATGCCTCTGCTATCTGCAAGCTGTGTGACATTGGTAAATCTCTTGGTGTCTCTGAACCACAGTCACTTCATTTGCAAAACGGGAATGATGTTGTTTCCCTACCTATCTCATCATGGCATTGTGAGGTTTGAATAAAGTGAGTGAGATAATGTTCAAATTTACAATTACTACCTGTGCTGGCTCTCTCAGGTCAGCCACACCTTGAGGCGTGTTCTTCCTTGCACACTGTAGTCCTGTCACCCTGGTCTTCTCTAAGTCAATTAAAGACACGCGGTGCCTTCTACCCTTGGGGTTTTTGCACAGACTGTTTACTGTCAGTAAGAACTAGTAATTATCAAATGACTTTCACAGGGCAGACACTGTCCTAAGTGCTTTTCATGTATTATTATATTTTTATAATATTTATAATATTAATATTATAATAATATATAAATATTATATTTATAATATCAATATTATAAATATTATAATATTATTAATAATATTATTATATTTAAACTCATAGACTATCCTATGAACTTTTTATTATACTCTTCTTCTGGTAAAGGCAGTGAGGCACAAAGAAATTGAATCACCCGAGGCCACACAGCTAATAATTACTGGATCCAGGATTTAAACCCAGTCAATCTAGGTCCTGAGCTTTAGCTCTTAACCACTTTACTCTCCTACTTCTCCCTTTGCTAACACTCATTTATTCTTCAGGGCTGAAAATAAATCTCACTGGCTTAGGGCACCTTCCCTGATTTAACTAGGCTAGGTTTCTAATGGAACCAGAACTTCTTTATAACACATCACCAATGTAGTAATTTATTTACTTATACACTTTTGGTTTGCCATCGGCCTTCCCACTAAATATAAATGTAACAAGAAGAGGGACACTTCATCCTCTGGTCTCCAGATTTACTGAAATTTACATTATAAGTACAAGAAAAACTGGAAAAGTTAGATATAGAATATTTTTCTAGAGGAAGAGCCTAGTTTATTATTATTATTGCTCATTATAAACTAGAGCTCCACCTTGTTGATGAAGAGAACTTTATGCCAACATGGTCAAACTGGCTGTAAGGAGGAAGGGCTGCTTGGAGTGATGTTTAGAAGGTTTCCACTTAAAATCCTTGTCCTACCGGATAGCCCTAGTATATATAAAAACTCCTTCACAGCAAGCATAATATGACTACAGAGACATTGCCTATGTATCAGTCAATTTGTCCTTCAACATAAGCGCCTGTGGCGGAACTACAATTACTATCCACATTTAATGGGTTAAGTCTTGCCAGCATTCATACTCCTCATATTAACTTAAATTGAAAGGTGAGTTAGACTACGCTTTGGGTGGAACAAACAGTCTTAGCCCCAGAAATAAAAATTTACAAAATTGTCTTTACCTTTCTTTCCAGGAAGTTAGCTCTAGTACTACCTAGAAAACATAAATCAGATATGTCAAGTTGGGTCATGAATGGGAGAAGCCTGAGGTATTCTCATTCAGAATTTTCTGCTTCCATTTAAGTCTGTGACTTCTCTGCTTCCTCTTCCACCACCCACCCCTTCTTATTACCATTTTTTTTCAAGTATGTCTCATTGGTGTCCATTCACTCCCTGCCTGCTGAAACCTCAAAAAAATTAAGCAAAAATTTGATTAGGACCAAAGTATCTCAATTTGATATTTAAGACAAGTTGACCCATTTCCTTGAAAATAGAAATGATGTACTTACTGCTTCAAATGTGTCAGGCACAGAGCAAATACCTTCTGAACGCTCACTGACATTCTAGTAACAACCAGCTTGTTGATCTCACAGTGATGTAGGAAATACAAGTATCTTTATCTCAGTTTATAGATAAAGATATGGAAAGTTTCTATAACTAGCTGTGAACGCTAGCAATAACCAGGTCTTCTGATGAAAAACTAACTTTTGCACTTACATGTAAGTCTTCTTTTGTAAGTAATGTTTTAAAAAAAACGGAGCTCTTTTGACAATTTACCTTCAGTTCCCAAAGAGCTCCCTCTCTCCATTGCATTATACTGACTATTAGTTCAATTCACATTTCTTGAATTTATAGGTAGATACTTAAAATTGCCATGCTGCATTCTCTAGAAAATAGCAGGTCTTGTTGACATCACCATCAGGAGATGGTGATTGTGGGTGAGCTCACTGCAGGGAAGGAGAACTAATTTGATAGTATCCAGAGGAAGAAATGTTGGTGAGATTTGATTTTGATACTAACAATCTCTGAGGTCATCTAAAGGAAGTAGTTCTTCCTACCTAAATGTATTGAAAAGTAGTGTGACACTTAGGGGCTTGGAGAAGAAGGCCCCTGGAATAGTCAGAACCTGTTGCGGTGAGAGTCCCACTGAATTTTAGAATCGAGTTGAGTCTAAAATTTAATGAGCACGTAGTCACCACCGGCATCTATATGTATTAATTAATATGCATGAGAAGGGGAAAAGGGACCACTGCTCCCATAAATATTTAGCAAATACAGCAAATAGTATTGTTCCTTTTCTTCGCAAAGTGCTGGTTTGGCTGTCAGTAGGTTTCTTTGCTAGATCTGATAAAAATTTAAAAGTGTTAACTATCTCTGAAGACAAAAAGGAAGCTGATGCCAATGCCAGGGGTTCAGATCATCTGTCAAAATTATTAAGACAGTTTGAAGATATAAACATACAGTCTATTCAAGAAGAATATTTTTTCTAGAAATATTCTGTAGGTCAAAAATAAAAATTTTAATCAAACTCTGCCCTTTATACTGGAGTAACTGGAAATCATTGTTAGCTATTTATGCAATTCCATGAGAACATAAAATTTGTAAATTGGCCTTAAACATTTACAGAGTTAGAAGTGTACTTGATATTGAAATAATCCCTTCTTTTTTCTACCATATCTCTGACAAAGAGTCAGCCTCATCACCTGGGGAAAGCCATTTCATGTCTGGGCAGTTCTCACTAGTAAAATTGTTTTCCTGTGTTACGTTAAAATCCCTCTTTCTATATATAATTCTCATCCACTGATCTTATTTCCTCTCACTGGGACCAAAAGATCTGTCCAAGAGTAGACTCTAAGTCTAGAAAGTAATGTGGTCAGTAAAGCAACTGGTCAAAAAGGTTTTACTTAAATCAGAAAAATATGCAAAGCCACCTACCAGATAAACTCAGTAGGACCAAGGCAGTGAGAAGGAAGATGCTGGCTACCTTCATGGCTGGAGTGCTGACTCCAGAGCTCAGTCAAAAACTGAACTCAACTTACCACTTCTCTCTAGAATCCTGGGACTGGAAGGTTCATACAGGCAGGATGGTATCCCAGTCTCCACCTACTGCCCTTTGTCACAGATCTCCTTGGTTATTGATTGACTCTGTAGCATAGCCTGGACCCAGCACAGCACCAGTGTAAGAAAGGTGAGAGGAATGCTGTGGGCCTAAAATGTGCAAGGTAAAGACTGTCAGGAAGAGATGACTAGTGGTTAGTTAGTTAGTTCTTGCCCTAACTTCCTCTGTGACTATGGAGAGGCCCTTCCTTTCTCAAGCCCTGGTTTTCTCATCTGTAAGGTGAATTCCAGGGTCCTTGTACTCTGTAGTTCTGGGTGCATGAACAGGTGTGAATATCTCAAAAACTCCTTTCATTCTTTCTTCCTTTTCTTCAGCTTTTCCATTTTTTATTCTCTCTCTTTTCTCTCTTTTTCTATCACCCATTCACAAAGCCTAAAGTAGCTGAGAGAGGGACAGGGTAGAGGTAGGGAGGACTCAGTTCCCTAAGGTGTGTGTGTGCTCCGAGGTAGAGTGGGCTCACCAGAGACGCTTACCAGCTCTTTGTCCTTGGACAAGTAGTTCACTTTCACTGAGCTTCAGTATATTCATCTGAGAACAGAAATAATAATAGTACCTACCTCAAACTGTTGGTCTTTCATTCTAAAATATGCATTGTGTCTGTCATGTGTGGTTTGGTGAGACAATTCTCAATTATCTCTCATGTTTCTGCATGTCTCATGGGTAGAGACACTGACTGCCTGTGTTTCAAACAACTTTTTCAAGAGGGTTTGTATAACAAACAGCCTTGGGAGGTGGAATACTGTCTCTCTCTGGAGTAAAGGGGAGGTTTGTTTACCGTTGGGTGTAATAAGATAGTATCTTTCACCAGGGTGAAGTTTAGGCAGGCATAGTGCTCTTTTTAAAAGATTAGGGGGCTTCCCTCGTGGCGCAGTGGTTGAGAGTCCGCCTGCTGATGCAGGGAACACGGGTTCGTGCCCCGGTCCGGGAATATCCCACATGCCGTGGAGCGGCTAGGCCCGTGAGCCATGGCCACTGAGCCTGCGCGTCCGGAGTCTGTGCTCCGCAACAGGAGAGGCCACAACAGTGAGAGGCCCGCGTACCGCAAAAAAAAAAAAAAAAAGATTAAAAGATTAGGGATTTGGGGGGGCTTCCCTGGTGGTGCAGTTGTTAAGAATCTGCCTGCCAGTGCAGGGGACACGGGTTTGAGCCCTGGTCTGGGAAGATCCCACATGCCACGGAGCAACTAAGCCCAGGCACCACAAGTACTGAGCCTGCACTCTAGAGCCCGCGAGCCACAACTACTGAAGCCAGTGTGTCTAGAGCCCATGCTCTGCAACAAGAGAAGCCACCGTGATGAGAAGCTCACGCACCGCAATGAAGAGTAGCCCCCACTTGCTGCAACTAGAGAAAGCCCGCACACAGCAATGAAGACCCAATGCAACCAAAAATTTAAAAAAATAATAATAATAAAAATAATTTTTTTAAAAAATAAAAAGATTAGGGATTTGTTTTAACATCTTTATTGGAGTATAATTGCTTTATAATGGTGTGTTAGTTTCTGCTTTATAACAAAGTGAATCAGTTATACATATGCATATATCCCCATATCTCTTCCCTCTTGCGGCTCCCTCCCTTCCACCCTCCCTATCCCACCCCTCTATGTGGTCACAAAGCACGAAGCTGATCTCCCTGTGCTATGCAGCTGCTTCCCACTAGCTATCTGTTTTACATTTGGTAGTGTATATTGGAAGAATCAACATTGTGGAAGTGACTATACTACCCAAAGCAATCTACAGATTCAATGCAATCCCTATCAAATTATCACTGGCATTTTTCACAGCACTAGAACAAAAAATTTCACAATTTGTATGGAAACACAAAAGACCCCAAATAACGAAAGCAATCTTGAGAAAGAAAAATGGAGCTGGAGGAATCAGGCTCCCTGTCTTCAGACTGTACTACAAAGCTACAGTAATCAAGACAGTATGGCACTGGCACAAAAACAGAAATATATATCAATGGAACAGGATAGAAAGCCCAGAGATAAACCCATGCACATATGGTCACCTTATCTTTGATAAAGGAGGCAAGAATATACAATGGAGAAAAGACAGCCTCTTCAATAAGTGGTGCTGGGAAAACTGGACAGCTACATGTAAAAGAATGAAATTAGAAAACTCCCTAACACCATACACAAAAATAAGCTCAAAATGGATTAAAGACCTAAATGTAAGGCCAGACACTCTCAAACTCTAGAGGAAAACATAGGCATAACACTCTATGACATAAATCACAGCAAGATACTTTTTTACCCACCTCCTAGAGAAATGGAAATAAAAACAAAAATAAACAGATAGGACCTAATTAAACTTAAAAGCTGTTGCACAGCAAAGGAAAACATAAACAAGACGAAAAAACAACCCTCAGAATGGGAGAAAATATTTGCAAATGAAGCAACTGACAAAGGATTAATCTCCAAAATTTACAAGCAGCTCATGCAGCTCAATATAAAAAAAACAAACAACCCAATCCAAAAACGGGCAGAATGCCTAAACAGACATTTCTCCAAAGAAGATATACAGATTGCCAACGAACACATGAAAGAATGCTCAACATCATTAATCATTAGAGAAATGCAAATCAAAACTACAATGAGCTATCACTTCACACCAGTCAGAATGGCCATCATCAAAAAATCTGTAAACAGTAAATACTGGAGAGTGTGTGGAGAAAAGGGAACCCTCTTGCCCTGTTGGTGGGAATATAAATTGATACAGCCACTATGGAGAACAGTATGGAGGTTCCTTAAAAAACTAAAAATAGAACTACCATGTGACTCAGTAATCCCACTACTGGGCATATACCCTGAGAAAACCATAATTCAAAGAGTCATGTACCACAATGTTCACTGCAGCTCTATTTACAAGATTAGGGATTTTTAAAACCTTGGCATCCTTCCCTTGTAACACACTGTGCTTCCTGTGCAGGTACCCTTGGCCCTCTTTGTGTCACCCTATGGAGGCTGGGCCTGGGGAACCAGAGCAAATGCTGGCAGTCTGGCTATTGCTATTGAATGATTATATCTCTTTTGTCTGAGTCAGGAGTCTGTGTCTTCTGCCAGCATCTCTTTAACTGTGGCAGGCTAACATGTCAGCTTCCAAGTATAGGGTATAATCATAGACCCTCCCAGGTCTTGATGTATGTTAAGAACTGCACTCATATATGTGGATGGATCAGTGAGTGAAAATGACAGCCCCAGCCCCTGTCCTCATGGAGCTTCCATTGCATTTAAGTTGGGGGAGACAGGCAATAAAAAAGTAATCAAATAATTATAAAGATTATAATAAATATTATGAAGAAAAAGAATAGAGAAGATAAACCTAGAGGTCTGGGGAGGTAGTTATCACAGATTGGTCAGAGAATGCCTTGCTGATTGACATTTGAACAGAAACATGGAGGAAGTGAGGAATTGAATCGTGCAAATATCCAAGAACATGCACTCCAGACAGAGGGAATAGAAAGTGCAAAGTCTCTGAGGCAGAAACTTGCTGATGTGTTTGAGAAACATCCAAGATGACCGTCTGGCTGGAGCAAAGTGATCGAGAGAAACATAGGCAGTAAGATAAAGGAGATAGTGGGGGCCTGGATAATGAAGAGCCATGTAGGCCATAGTAAGGACTTTGGTTTTTAACCAACGGAAAGCCATTGGAGAGTTATGGCAGAAGAATGACATGATATGACATTCCTTCTAAAAGGTTTTTGTGCTCTATGAGAATAAACTGTAAGGCAACGACAGCAGCAAAAAATCCTAATGTTAGGCTATTATAATAGTCCAACCAAGAGACGATGGTGAAAGTGGAAGAGGTTGATTTTATAGTTGAGGTGAATTAATACATATAAAGCTTTTAGAACAGTTTCTGGCACATGGTAAACATTTAGAAATATTATCCATCACTATTATTTTTATTGGTGTTATTTTTTCAGTATTTAAAATGTTGTTCCATCTAACCAGAAGGTTCTTCTTTAACCTTACACAGCAATGAATTCTTCCTAAGTCTTTAAAATTCACTTTGAATGCTGTTTCTTATTGGAAATCTTCCTCAGCTCATTCTGAGTTTCCATGGTATCTGGAACATGCTTGAATATAATACATAATACACTGTTGAAACTGTTTGTGTATATAACTAGCTCCCTCATCTTCCACTGACGCTTCAACCTTTACCATCCTAGCTTCCTCCACCTTGTTTAGGTCACCAATTCAGGTTGATTAATTCCGTAAACATTTTTCCAGAGCACATGACCTCTAATTCTTCAAACTTGATCAAATGCAGTATAATCTGTTTTCTTGGGTTTCATGATTCCACAGTCTCCTACATTTCCTCATACCTTCTTCATCCTCACGTCATCTCCATCCTCTCTGTTGACACTTCCTCCTCAAATGAGTGAAGACTTGGTGTTTCTCAAATATTGGTCCTGGGTCCTAGTCCTTCCTCACTTTTCAGTTTCTGTAGGTGAGCTCATTTATCCACATTATTTAAATTATATATATAATTATATATATATTTCTCAAATATGTATCTCTTTCCTATATCTCTCCTTTGATCTTCATACCAAATATTAAGTGCCTTCTTGACAATTTTGGACATCCTATAGGCACTTCAAATTTAATGTTCTGTACTACTGTTTTAATCATTTACCACAAATATTTGTCTCTTCAGTCTCCTCCTGGCTTCTTTTCCTTCCAACGGGTTGGGCAAGTCAAAACCTAAGTGTTCTCCTTGATGCCTCCCTCTGCCCTTAACATGCACCATCTTCCACTCTTAATTCGTTACCAAGTTCTCTTCTTGACCCTGTGTCCAAAATAACCTCAATTCTGGACACTTCTCATTACCTTACACTGTCATATCTAAGATGATGCCATCATTTCCACTTTGACTTTCTGAAATTACCTTGAGGTAGTTTCCCAACAACATCTACCATTATTTCATCC